GGTGCAGTTATGTGTGTTTACATTGTCAGGAGTCACTGCATTCTGGATGTGATGACAGGAGTATCATTCTGACGTTATGTGGTGAGATGATTTAGCCATCCTATGTTAATAATACACACAGTGGCAGCATTAATGTTCTCAGTTTGAGTTAGCGGCTTTCGTGGCTGTTTGCTTTGGGGTGACTTGGTTAAACTTTGGCTGGCCACCTGCACGCTGTGTATCTGACGCACACCGCGCAGCATGAAATATCAACAGTAGAAATTAGGAAAGCTTGTTTTAAAATACACCATGAGCCTAAATAAATCTGAGTCTTTTAGCTGAACTGTGTTTGAATCCCACAGCTGGGTCCACACTTCCTAGGGACTGGCCACGGCAAATCCCACTGCTGGGGCTATTCTTGCGAAAGGGTTTATTGTGTCTTGTTATTGATTGTAATAGATTTTAAGGTCTGTTGATTTTGTTCAGCATTAAGACATTTAAAGTGCAACCTGTGAAAAGAAGCCTTACAGGTTGCTTTTTGTTTTGTCTCATGTTATGCTTACTCTCACAGCTATAGAAGTGCTGGAACCCCACACACACACACATACAAAGCAAGCCTTGTTGTTGTTCTATCATATCAGCTCTGGATGTATTAAGCTCTTTGTTTTTTTCCACCACACCCAAACGACTCAACCTGCCCTTCAGCATGGTACAGACGCACACTTGTCCAAGTTCTCCAACAATATAAAAGTAAAACACTAATCAGGATTCTTGCTGGTTTCAGCTGTGCGGGTGGCAGTAACCGAAGGTTCATCGGGAGTGTTTGCGTAGGCACAATTTACATTCAATTCCATTTTCATTTAGTCTTGCTGGCACTCACAATCACAGTCTGCTATCTAAGATTGTAAAGAGATGGCACAACAGTCGCTTGCTGGACAAAAAACAGAGATGAGTTGATTACTAAAACACTTTTTTGCTATCTTGATGCAGTGGCCTTCAGATGGAATCTTCTTTGCTTGAGCGAAGTCCTTGCTGCCCAATTGCAGTTAAAATACAGCAATATATTGAATTCCTGAACGTAATGTACCGTGGATTTAACCGGGCTTAGTTCATGATATTCGTCTTCTGAGCTTGCTCAGTGGGAACTGTCAGTCTCTAACCTGGCACCTGTTCCATTCTCAGTTGTTTTGACCTTTCGTGAACTTACTCCGAGGAGAAATGAGTGCTAAAGCAAGCAAAACTTTCGAACTTCAAAATTTCTTTCTTTAGAAAAAGACGTCACAACTGTCTGACAAGATTTCCTTGCTTTTTTAAAATAGTAGTCCATACTAGTGGTCAACTGATATGTGGTTTTAGTGTGAAGATTTACTGGAACACTTTTTATTAGTGTATTTTGGAGACCTGCGCCTCTCATAAACACATAGAGACGACAGAGAACAGCAACTCATTGGCTGTACTTGACACATAGCCCATGTTACGACCAATCCACTAACAGTGTGGATCAGTCGTTGTGGCAGGCTACAGATGTGATGGTTGGTTGTATGCATCATGCCACATTTCAACTAATTCAAAAAGGCTTTGGGCGAGACATTGGACAGGCTACAGAAATGATTCTTTTAGTCGTGGATGTTCAAGAGAGGCATATTCATCAAGTTAAAACCTTTTAATCAGCAAGGAAACAAGCAAAAGTGCAAATTCCAACAACAGAAAAATTATACATAGTGCATTTGATTCTCGTGTCCTAAAGCCCTAGTCCAGGGGTCGCAACACAAATGTTAAGAAGAGCCATTTTGTCCTTTAAACAAAAATCAAACCACTTTGGGAGCCACAATCTTTTATGTCCATTTTAACATCTAGGCTGTAAATATGTCTCATTACATGCTTATGTCCTAGTATAGGCTAAAAAGTTTAATATAAACGAAAACACAGACTTACTTTACTCTGCTTTAAGCTTTAGCTCAGCTATAGCTGCTTTCCTCGCATCTCCGGCAGGAAACTTTCCCTCAAAAGTGAAATAGTTTCTTGTAAAGTGTCTCTCAACGTTTGAGTTTTTACAAGACTGAAGTCGGCTCTTCATTCACCAGTGCCAGAATGTAACTGCAGCACCATTTAAGGTGGAATGGGACAATTCAAACAAGAAGCTGGAGAATAAGAAGCTGACTTCAGCCTCGCGACTTTTTGGTGTTCGACAGTTTCTCGTTGCAGATTAAACGTATCAGGAAACCTGAGTGCTTATAAAAGCCATTTGTCTCTAAATTATCAGTGTTCATCTTAAATCTTAAATCTGAATTTGCAGTTATAGGCTGCATTAACTCCAGTGTTTAAGACCATTAAACCTGTTGAACGATCAGCAGAGCTTTATTTTACTGCAAAGGAGGATTATTTTATTTTTACCTACAAATGTAATTCTGCTGTGGGTCGCAACAGGGCAGGAAAAGAGCTGCATGTTGCCGACCCCTGCCCTATTCCATGTGGTGCATATACAGAAACTGTTTCAGAAACAGCCCATTTCAAATTCATCATGATCGTGATTCCATAGCCATGAAGACATTTACATATAACCACTGATTCAGCGTTTGTTTAGTTAAAAGAGAACAAACACTAAAACACAAAAGAAGTAAGAGTCCCTCTATTGGGGCTGGGCAATATAAGGACACGTATCATTATTACACCAGATTACATCGCAGTATGCTTTCTAAGCATATTGTGGATACCGCGAATGAGGCCTAAGTGATTTAGCACAAACATATTTAGCACAATATCGTCTGATTAAAAAATCAAGATTATTATTTACAAGATTATAAGTGAGTCACACTGAAGCATGTCAAAGTTCCAAAGCACATTGGGTAGATAAAGCTAGCATTAAAGTGCATAGCAGAGAGAAGAGTGGCTTCTTAATAAACTTCTCTTTCTCTCGTAAGCGGAATAAACTACTGTTGGGGCTGTACCCGCACACTTCTTAAAGGAGCATGAACCCCAGTTTCCCAACATATTTAGTAAGATGTTTTAAGGTCAGTTAGTCCTGTTTAGTTCTCTGTCAGTTCTCCAGCATGATGATTATGGCCTTTAACAGCGGGAATGGGCGCTGCCAAAACATTGTCATCAGGTCAATGATATCTGATTACGTCACTCTGTTACCTTGGCCTATTGTGAACAGTGACCTGCATTAAAAACAAGAAAAAAATAGAGCATAATTAGTTGTGTTTAATTGGATTCAGTGGAGCGCAGTGTGTGAAACGCTCAGTAAAAACCATTTGTCCTCATAGTTTTTGATTGTATTTTTCAAGCGTGGCACTACTGGTTTTGTTTTGTCTGTTCTAACTTATCAAACCAGTGTATGCTTTACCAAGCTTGCATTTGGTCTGGTATCTTTTTTCTGAGACCGTGTGGTCTGACGGCGTTTGGTCTGATGTTCAGTTACATCAGATCTGAGACATGAAGATGGTTTTCCCAAGACTCGAAGTGGTTTAGTCCGAGGAATGATGCCGTTCTGGCACTGAAGACTGAGGATGTCCTAAATGTACCCTGTACCCCCGCTTAGTGCTAATTAACATATATTTACATGTTGGTTAATCTTGAAAATGAAAAAGCAAAGTGGGAAGTGAAAAGTAAATCACTAGCAGGTGGCGCCTGTGTTTGTTTCCGTTTGCCTTTTTATTCTGACACTTAAAGCGCGTCCACGCCGAAAACCGAATCACAAACGGTCACTTTGCTGTTGATTTATCCTTTTTGAATTTTCATTTTCATTTTGTCAGATATGCAGCCGATTGATGTGACAAAGAAAAAACGTAAACATTGCATTTTGATTTTAGTTTTGACACGTATCATGCATTTCGTGAAGAAAAGCCAAAGCCAAAGTGAGGCTTGGATTTTCTTTGCTCTGTTAGCTTTTCCATTTTAGATATGGCCATGAAATACCAGAATAATGAATAAAATGAAATGACCAATCGCTTTTTTAAATGTACTTGTGTTGTATGCTAAATAGCCAGAGTGTCCAGCCCAAAGGGCCAGTGTGGTTGCAGGGTTTTTTTTTTTATCCAAAGCAAGCAGAAGCACACCTCATTGGTTTAACTTTAAAAGTTAATTGCGTAACTTTAAGGCCAGCATGAAAACATGACTGTTCCAATTTGCTCTTCTCTGTCAATCACGTGATTTCTGAACTCTGTTGATGCATTTATTTGATACACCGCAAAAAATACCATCTTGTCAAGGGAAATGATATTAAATCCAGTCTATATATCTAATATAGAAATAAGGGAAATAATCTGAAATTAAGCTTACAACAATCCCAACAGGAGAAATATTAGATTTATTGACTATATTTAAGATAATTCTACTTGACAAGATACCATTTTTCGCACCGTATGTAAAGAACGTCATCTAACAAAGCCAAAAGTGTTTGGACCTTTATTAAATTTTTCTCACAGACTACATTTTTGAATAAGCAAACACATAAATAGGAATTATAAACCACACGTCAGTCACATTTTATTTTGACTCTGATTAAACAAGTCACTAAAAAGCACTTACTGATAACTGAATTATGCTCTGAATGAACTTGCACACTCATTGCAGTGCATCCATCCATAAGGAGGCTTTGTTTATCGTTCATACTGGTGGCCACCAGCTCTTCTTCTGAAGATCTACTATTCTGCAGAGTTTAATCCTAACCCTCATCTGACATGCCACCCTCTCCCCATGCCAACTCTAATGTACCTGATCCAGCCAATTAAGGATTTCTGAAGAAAGGCATTGTCTGGAGTAGGTGTGGCGGCTTGTGGTTTAAACTACAGTGCCAGGGTTGGTGACCATTTTTGTATACAGTGATGAAAAACACGGTAGCACACCCTCGATTGAACAGCCTCTCTTTGCATTAATGTGAAAACATTAAAAAGAAAACATTGAATGAATGTTGGAAGGTTTTTGAAGGAGTAAGATAGAAAGTTGATGGTAAACTGAATGTTCTGAAAGAAATGCAGAGTAAATAAAAGTCCTTATCACTCTTTTCTTTCTCCTCTTAGTACAAGTGTCAGAGTGCACGAAGAAACTCCACCGACAATGACTGTGAGGTGAGCTCTATGTGTGTATATGTGTGTATATGTGTATGTTTGTAAGTGTGTAATCTTAGAACTCTGACATGGGTGGTGTTAGTCAGTATTGAATTACAGCTGAAAACCGCTGGAGCTTGTACCATGATTTTATCTATGCGTCTTTTGGTTCCATGAATTGTGTATCTTCCTGTTTATCACCTCCTGTTACACAATCCTTTAACTTTACAGTCGTCTCTTGCAAATTTGTAAAATGAAAATGAGAGAGCTGATAGGAGCTGATGAAAGGATTTCAGGCCATGCTGGCTCGCCCTGGCCTTGTTCTTATACTCTTCTTTACGTGGGACTGTGAACAGAACACCACGAGGTCTTTTGAGGAGATCAAAAAAAACGACACCCTTCTGCAACCAGTTTCCCAGAGCACATTATTAACCTTCCATGAACTCCATTCCCTTTTATCACGAGAACGTATGTGACTCGTATCCGAAGTTATAAGGCTTTGAAGTGGAGTTGAAATACGTCTTCTGCCTCTCATTGCATGTAACTGGTGAATTTGTGTCTCTGTCTACATTATGTGTGAAACTGACCAAATGGAGGACCACTGGAGGACCATTCAGGAAGTCACTGAGGACTTGCTCATCATGTCGCAAACTCTTTATTCTTCATTCAGTCCACATTGGAGACACGTGTTAAACACCATGCAAGGAATTTACAGCCGCTAAAGTCGCTGCAGAAGTTTTGGAAAGTAGTGACAAAGATAATGAAACATTTTGATATGAAACATTTGGATATCACTTTATATGCAAGCGCCTTTAGAGGCGAATTTAAGAAGATATGCAAAAATTGAGAAAATGCCAATAGACCCCAGAGGCTTGAAGCATCAGTAAGTCAGTCATTTATGCAAAAGATGCAACAAGTCAGATTGTGGTTGTATATATTATATATATATTATCCAGAGCGACTTACGAAAAGCGCTTTGTTGTCTAAATCCCCTAAAAGTGGCAACACTTTTCATTTTTCAGTTTTTGACATAATTTAAAAAAAATGCCTGTTGCCCTTTGCATTTTGTGTAAATTTTATGATGAATGGACACAGTGAAAGGTATGACCTTTGTAAATCAGGCAGTAGCTCTAAAAATATAGGCATAGGCCTGAAAATGCCTTTTATACTATTAGGAGAATAATTAAAAAGTTTAAAACAACCAGAACTGTACTGAACCTGGAAGAGGACACGCATGTATTTGCCTACATTCACAGTTAGGAGGATGGTTTGTTAGGCAAACATTTTCTTTGCTTTCATTTAATCAGAAGAGTAAGGACATGGAGTTCACTAGCCACTACTAGAACTTTGACTGGAACTGGGTTGACAATAAATCCTCAAGGAGGGTTTGCCATAACAAGAAAGAAATGATTATACAGAAAAAAACTCATTCCCACTGTTTAATATGGTAGGGCATTTATGGTGTTTTGGGGCTGTATTTCTCCTGAACACCTGAACCTTGTTTGGGCAAATGTCTATGAAGTATGAAGTACCAGTAAATGGAAATAAATGGCTAAAAAAGCTAAAGCTGGGCTGTGGTTGGATCCTCCAGCAAGACAGTGATCCAAAACATGTGTTCAAAACACACAAGCCTTTGTCAAGGCCCTCCCAGTCCCATGAAGAAGAGAGTCCAAAAGAGAGTCGTGTGATCCTAGAGGATCTGGAGAGATTCTTTATTATGGAGTCTCAGATTGCTTAGATTGCTCTGTATTCTCCAAACCCAAAAAGTATTATAAGAGAAGACTAATTTCTGTTATGCTGGCCAATGGAGGTTGCACAAAATACTGAATGGGAATAACTGTGACAATTTTCATAACCTTTACCAATATATCGTAATAAATTTATAGAACACTAATAATGTATTTGGCAGTAGTAGTAGTATTAGTGGTAGCATGCTGTGGGTTTTTGAAAGCAGCACCTCCTTATCCACTGCCTCTGCACTCCTCCATGCTCAGACAAGCCCTCTATTCACAGTGTTGGCCACATGGACCAAGCCAGCAGTTTCTGCTAGGACAGCACAATATAGACAAAAAAAATGCAATATATGATAAAGTTCTTGCACAATCGCTGGTGTGAGATAGAAGGAATTATGATTAAAGTAGGCTGTGTGAATTTGTGTGAATTAGTTCAGTACAAAAAGTAGAAACAGGGTTAGGTGAGGGTGAGGGTTATTATATATATTGTTTATTGAAAGCATGTCATATTTTTTGATATGTGTTAAACAGCCCACATTTTCTTAGCACACCTTTACCAGGCTTTGTCGATTGCTTGGTTCAGGTGTGTTGAAAGCCTGAATAGAGCAAAATAAGGGAAGGGCTGTCTGTGGGTCCCCCATTAGGGGTGGGCAAAAAGGCAAACGTGTGACATCCTGTAAAATTTGAAGACATGATATCTTGATTTTTAGTTGTAGTTTATACAGAGACAGTGCACCCTAACAGCAATGTCAAATAACAAAAAAAATCAAGCAGTTTGTAACAATTAATAAGATTAATTTTGATTGGCTAGCATTCAGTCAGCTTTTTGCTATTATATCGTTTTTATTGAAGTGCAAACTTTTATTGAAATGCAAACTGGCCAGCGATCTTAGAAATGTAGGCGATATCAGCTCCATGCTCAGTAAAGCATATGGTGACGTAATTTATTATGATGACAATGACACATAAGATAACGTACTGTCATATCCCTTACCCCATCTTAAAGGACTGGTGGAAGCAACAAAGCGCTTAAAGATGACAATGAATATGTGTGAAAGATGTGATTTTTTTTTCCTTGCTGTAGGAGGCTATGCGCTCCACTGACTTCAGCACAACTCTGACTGTCTTTGGCCTGAAGCCCCGATCAGGTACTTTAATCAGTTAACTTGCCTGTCCTCCTGATTCCAGTCTGTCCATCTACATCTCAATCTGTCTGCTTGTGTATGTCTCACTTTCTCTGTGTGGCTTTCTGTGGGATCGTCTGCCTGTATCGGGGGTTAAAAAGTAAGTTAACCTGGCTGTGTTAAAAATGACATTTTACTGAATTATAAATAATACATTAAAGGGGAACTCCACTGATTTTTCTAAAATTCTGCATAATTAAATGAATAAGAAGTAAACAAAGTCATTTAGAGTAGTTTGGTGCAAAATGCTTCATTCTAGAAATCAGAATTGTTCACAGTGGTAGTGATAGGAACCAGACATCTGAAGAGTTTAAGGCCTCTAAAAGCTACACAGAAAGTTATTCCATTAAATAGTTATGAATACTCAGCCTGATGTCTGAGACATTGTTTTACTGTACTTTTGAGGCCTAATCAGTTTATTCCAGTCTGTTGACGGTGGAGGGACACATTAAAGGTGTTCTAAGGCAACATAGTGCCCCCCCAAAAACTTTTTTTTTAATCAGATTTACCACTATTTTACGATCATCAATGTTACGAATAAAAACTCAGATGACTTGTATACGTTAGTGGTTTTGGACAGTAAATAAAATGGCTATATGTGTGTTGTAGACATCAGGACCCCTGGTTCCTATCACCACCACTGTAAAGAAAACAGTCAGTATGCTTCTCTACAAATGAACCATTTCATCTACTCTTCAACCACTGAATTATACAGACTTTTAGAAAAAATGGTGGAATTCCACTTTAACAGACTGTAAGGCAAATTATTGGTCTTTAATTCACTATTTGATGTTCAGTGCCTTCAACTTTTTCAGTTAAATCTTTTTTAGTAGTGAGAAAATCTTGTATTACAATTCTGTGATTGAAAAAAGAGATATGTAATATCAATACTGACATTTATCACATCTTATTACTAATTTGTTAGTATTCTTGATTATGCAGTTGCATAGGTATTTTAAATTATAGCCCTGTAATACAAAAACATAAGAACACCCACTAAAATCAGCCTAATGCAAATCTGATTAGACTGATTAGATGCTGGCATTTCACTCGTCTTCTTCTGACTCTCTTTTTAACCCCTTATACTTTAAGGGTTCACCATACTTTGTTCCCCCACTGTAACTACATATCTTACATGTTAAGTTCATAGTACTAGTATTGAATCATTTTTTTACTGGATAATGAATTTTAAGGTGAAGAACTGAAAGATAAACATATTGAAAGGCTTACAGAAATCCATGTTGTCATATCTGCATTTCGTTTGATAGTAGCAAACTGGTAGTAATTTGGGAAATATTGAGCTGTATGTAGATTCAGAAGATAATAAGACTGACCGCAGCTCACCTCTATTCACCAGCCTCTTTCCTGGCATTATGCCAACACTGCACATTGAATTGTAGTCTTTTTATATATGGCAAATGCAATAGTTTTTGCCTTGATGATTTCAAAAAAGTGGCTCACAGTTTAAGACAGCTGCTTTTGAATCATCTTTGAAGGAAAATGCATGTGTATGTCTCTCTGCTGGTGCACCTGCCTGTGTATTGTCTCAGTGCAGAGTACATGCAGCCTCATTTAGCCTCATGCACTTTCAAAACAATTATGCTTTACTAAAGGAAACAAAAGCTGGAGTGTAAGAGGCTTCCTGTCATTGAGCAAAAACTGGCAACAACTCCTGTTAACTTCCATTAACCGTTTAACTTCTCCTTCCCTTAGAAACATTATGCAATCTCTGCCTGCCTTGCTTTTGCATCACATTTCTTTCTACCATCTCTCATCCAAGGATTAACTTGTCATGTGTTATTGTTATTATTTTTTTAAGCGTTATTTCTGTGATCTACAGCAGGAAAGTGCACCTTGAAAGCAAAAGTTATGAGTCATGTTCTTGGATATTCACCGATCACAGTGATGTGCTGTAATCGGAAAATATGTGTATCTCTTTCACATTACATAAGCTCCAAATTCCTACACATGAACAGCTTTAACACAACAGCTGGTCACATTGTTTTTAACCAGGCGTACAGGAGTTCATCTAGCCTCGATAAGGTATGCGTCTTCCCCTTTTTCATGTGGAGTCCAAAAAATAATGAAGCGTGATTATTTTGGATAAATTGGAACTCAGCAGGAAAGTTCTGTGGAACTGACAGGGTTCTGATGTTGAAAAGAGGTTGACCACATGACCACTAGAGAGGTGCACTGTTGTTAGTACCAGAATATAGTTTCTCAGGAACTGAGCCGTTGGTTTTGGCAGTGCTGAGGCTTGGCCTGCTCGGAGGTTATCTGTTGTATTGTTCATTATCACCTTCTTTTCATAACCTGAAAGAAATTATGAGTAATCACAGGCTATGGCTTCCGTTCTCCCCAAGCTATGACGACAATAATGTTTTGTAGAAAAGGAAATTCTACAAAATATTAGACCAGCATCTTTTCTGCACCTTCTTTTTCTTATTTATTTATTCATTTTAATTATACAATCGAAGCAAAATAGGGTTTCTAGACTTGTTGAAAGTCTCCCATATGCATATTTGGCTTTGCTGTTGTAAAAGTGATCCTGGTTAAAGCAGCAAGCTGAATTCTTGCTTCCCAATAGATACACTGTCTGTTACCCAATCAGTTTTCAAAATGTTGTCTTATCATTTTTAAATATATCATTTTTAACCAGTCCCTATAATCCCACTTACATATTATACTTATGTATTGCATAACACTAATCTTAAGAATGACCATGGGACACTAAACGAAACAAAACACAGGAATCTGTTAGCTGTGCATGCCATCAGTTTCTTTTCTGGTTAGTAGCTGACAAAAGAGTTGGCCTCTCTGTAAAACAAGCAAGTTTTCATTAATGTCTAAATTAAAAGAGCTTCTTTTTGCAAACAATTTAACTGCCCAATCTCCGCGCTTTAGAACGACTTGCATTTGACGATGCTTGTTACCTGTAACCATATGCATATGGCATGCTTTGGCAAGGCTGATAAACCCCAGCTCATCTGTGTACAATAAGCAAGATTTTAATATATGTTCAAATTGAGAGAGTTCCTTTAGGCAAGCAGCCTGAAGCTGCTTAATCTCTGTGCTTTAGAACAACTTGCATTATTTGCCAAAGGCTTTTAATTCATTGTTTGCATATGGCATGTTCAGGCATGGTTGATAAACCTTTGGCACATCTGTTCGTACAGGTACTTCAAAATTCATCTCAAAATTCTTTTCTTTTAATTAATGTCCTAGGGTGTAACATGCCTGAGTGAGCTCTTTGGCTTTTGTGAAGGTGTAGGTTGGGTGAATCATAGGTGCAGAGTAACAAATTAGACTATGCAAGCCTCCAACACCCATTACTGCATTAGACAGATCTTATCAGATTATATGGTCATGTCTGTATATAGTACTAATCCAAATATTAGTGTCCAGCATCTGCACTGTGCTGGTTTGGATATCAGAGGACAAGATGAACAAATCCGATCTGATTATTTGAGAAATCTAGGATTAAACTATAATTTTTATTAGATTATTAAATATTAAATTACATTTTGCATGTCAAATATTATACTACAACAACAGATCCTTGCTATTGGTAATAAGGAGGAATGTTCCTGCAGTATTTGCAGAGGTGGATAGTCCATTTGCAGAATCAGGACAAAACACTACATCTTAACTGGTCATCAGTAATAAAGCACAGGGCACTTTGCTGCACCGCGTCTAGTAATGTTAAGTAATATTGTGCACTCATATAATTTGTTTTATCATGATAACTGGCTGAGAAAATCTATTCATGGTGAGTTTTTTTCATTAATGCAAACATGTTGCTCGGTGCAATGTAATAAGGTTGCTAAGAAACTTAAGTAAAAAAGGGCTTTTTAGCTCTTGAGCAATAGGACGTGTGCCAGACATCAACCAGGCAGGGTATGATGGGTAATTTCCATGTTGAGCAATAAGTACTATCAGTTTAATCAGCTGGTATACAGACAGGTGCAGACTGAGAATAAAAAGATGTTGACAATTCTGTAGTGTCACAGATCAATGCAAGCAACTTTGTTTATGCGGTAGCCAGGGAGCTGTTTCACAAGCTAGGGTGTCCATTTCCAACCACAAACGAGGTTGTTTTAAGGAGCAGCACTGGATAGCATTTCAAAGTAATGGCCAAGCTAAGTGACTGCATGCTAAGAAAGTCAAACCTGAGACTTTACTATAAATACATGTGTTCAATGTTATTTCATGTGGATAATCTATATTAGCTTTGGTAATTGTAGTGGACGTAAAGGGTGTGTTTTGCCAGGATTAAGCCGTGTAAAGATGTTTAGATTTCGATTTATTGGTGATACAGTCTGGTAAGAACTGGTAGGCAGTACTGAATAAAACTCTACAATAAAGCTAAAATTGGCTGTTTTATAAACAGGTTGGACTCCAGAATGGTGGGAAAATCTGTTGGTGTTGTATTCAGGGAGGAAAAATGTGTTACTTTTTTTTATTTGTTTATTAGTTGGTGTTAACTGATCTGTGACACTGAGTACATTGATGTGGCAACCTTTGAACTGACTTATGAGGTAATCACTACCTGACTTTTCTGTTTAATGAGCACATGAATGGCAGATCACTCAAGAAGCAAATATCTTTTCCGGAAACACAAATGAAAATTGCATGGAAAACGGTCAGAACTCATAAATGCAGGCTGATTGCCACAAATGATATTATTCCTTGTACATTTATCTTAAACATGCCATTGTTTGGAAGAGTGTACTTTATCATTTCTGTTGAAATTTCAAAGCTTGAGCAAGGAAATCAGCTGGTTACAGTTTGCTAGTTTTCATTCCTTCAGATTCCGCACTGGCTGAAAAGCTTGCAATACTGTTGCTAACCTAACTTTACTGATGTTATCTGAAAAACCTACAATTTAGCAAATAAGCCATTTGCTTACAGAGCAGCAGTTAGATCCTGAATTGCTGATCCGTGCTCATGTGACAAGATCAGTCTACAGGAAATCCAGCACAGTTCAAAATGGTGTCTTCAGTATGTGAATATATTTATATGTACAGTCTTATTTGATACTACTGGAATAAGTGCAAAACGTTTAGGCTGACAGCAGCATATTTAACCGTGTCTGTCAGACTTGCCTGTCTCCTTGCTAGCAAAATGTTGGAGATGTTTTGGCTACTCATGTTCATTGGTCAGCCGTAGTTGTCCATTTAAGGTGGAAGTGGATTTAAGGTAGCAGTGAAGTTAAGGTAGAAGGAAATTAAAGGTGGAAGTGGGCTTAGGCAACCATAGCAACCACCAACTTAGCAACACTGTAGCAACCACATAGCAACCACCTGTTATACCATAACAACCACCTAGCATCCACTTAGCAACATAATAGCAACCACCTAGCAACCACATAGGAACACCATAGCAACACCATAGCATCCATCTAGCAGCCACTTAGGAACACCATACCAACCACCTGGGAAACCATAGCAACACCTTAGCAACCAACTAGGAACCACTTAGCAACACTATAGCAGCCACCTAGTAACCACTTAGCAACATCAAAGCAACCACATAACAACACCATAGCAACCAGCCAGCAACACCAGAGAAACCGCCATAGAAAACTAGCAACAACCTAGCAGGAAGTGGGAACCATTTTAGTTGCGCAACTGTTCTGTGTTTCCTTCAGGAAATGTTTCTTGTCGTGACTGTAATTGATAAACTCCTGGTCATTGGTCAGTCGTAGTTGTCCATTAGAGGCAGAGATATGCAAATAACATCTTAAGCGGAAATCTGTGTAGTCTAATATTTTTGATAATGTAACTCATTGTTTGTTTCTGGTTCTGTCAGTTATGATAGTTCCTTGCTCTGCGCTATAGGAGCTCTTGTTGCTATATCATTATTCCAGTGGTTATTTATACACATTGTTAGGCACATTTACATCTGTTTCTATAGAGAATAGTAAAAATGAATGTAAGAACTAACACTCTACCCTCTTTGGCAGTAACACACTGTAAATGAAGCATATATACAGCACAAGAGAGCATCCAAAGCAAATTTATACTTCGATAAAATTACAATGAGAGATAATCAAAAGCTGGTTATTGTTAAGTTACATCAGCTGTAAAAATCTAGTTAATATTTATACTCAAATTTTATATTGTTTAGTCACCTTTCCCTTCCCACTACAGCTACTGTGTAATTGTTGTAGATTTTGTGTTATTAAAAAGTTTAATAATGCAAATTAAAGACAAATCAAGGCAGCCTTTGTCACAACTTTAAACTCCAGTGAAGTTGGCTGTGTGCAGAGTTCACAGACAAAGCAAAATGTGAACTTGTAGATGGAGTCACTGTAATTATTTTTTTTTAAATAGCATTCCTGGTTCATAGGGGCATGCATCTGGATTTAAGCCAGAGCACTCATTGTGCACAGGTGTTTCACTGACAGATAGACAAAATACACCCATTTAATTTGAGTAAACAATGAATTTTAAGTTCTTCCTTTCGTTTTTCATTTTAGTTCCTCTTTTTCATATTCAGTTGTCTGACTGTGTCGTTGCTTCTCTTCTGGGATATTTTGATGCTTGTTAATCATGTGTTATAAATGTGTGTGGGCGTGTGCTCGTTGTCGTCTGTGTGTCTGTGTGCGTGTTCCAGCATTTTCCCGTAGCAGTCGTCAAGAGTTTGGCTCCACGGATCCCAGCTTCACCATGAGGAGGAAAATGGAACACCTCAGAGAGGAAATGGAACAGATACGTCTCCTGCGGCAGGTCAGGCAGTGCAAAAAAGTCAACTACAACATGCCACATCCCAAATATTATTGAATAATTGACAAAAGTTACATAACTGTACATCATAGTTCTTGTGCAACTTATCATTGGCCTTGTCAGTGTAAATAAAGTTAAGGATCAGCTTACACAGATATGAGTTACACTGATTAATTGGTCCTATGCAAATAAACAGGGATGTCTCACTCCAGTTTTTTGCCTTCACTCCTGATCCGACACTTGTTTCCCAGATTGATTGACTGGTGCATCATAGCTCCACACTCATATTTTATGTATGGCTACTTTAATTGTCTTTGAAGAAAGTCTGCAATTGAAACACTGGCCTTGCAGGCATTGCAAGTGGCTGCTGGGTCATTTTCTTTTTGCTCTTGAAAATAGTTCTACAGATGCTTAAACGGTTAACTTCTGAAAATGTGCCTTATTTCCATGAGTTATGGGTAAAGTCTGTTATGTCATCTCTACTACCGGGGTGTAAAGAAAGGACAGCAGGGTAAAACAGCCTTAAAAAAGGATCAGAATTTATGTTATTATGGTTTATATTTATGCTGCGTAACTTGTCACAGTTTTCAAATACCAGCATTTTAACTCCAGATTGTCCGGTCTGATTGTGTGATTCGGGCTTGTTTACAGCTTTTTGATTGGATGCACGGTTTCCATGTAGCAGTGGAATTTTGCTGAATTTTTTCCTCATAGAAATGAATGGGGTGCAAAAGTTATGGCACCTTTCATGTGTCACGATGATATAAATACACTAACACATACACTCAACACACCACACCCCACAAACATACTCTGAGCACACCACACATAGCACACCACACATAGCACACCAAACACACACCCACCACACAAACGCACGCACACACTTTTCAGGTAGCAGAAGATTTTAGGTAGCAGTATATCTAAGATGGCACTGGATTTAAGGTAGCGGGAGATTTAAGGTAGTAGTGGATTTAACGTAGCAATGATTTAAGGTAGCAGTGAAGTTATGGCAACAGGAAATTAAAGGTGGCTGTGGACTTAGGCAACAATAGCAACGTAGCACTTAGCAACACCGTAGCAACCACATAGCAACCATATGTGATACCATAGCAACCACCTAGCATCCACTTAGCAACATAATAGCAACCACACAGCAGCACCATAGCAGCCACCTGGTAACCACTTAGCAACATTGTAGCAACCACCTAGCAACCCCATAGCAACCAGCCAACGTCACCATAGAAACTTGCCACAACCTAGCAGGAAGTATGAACCATTTAAGCTGTGTTTCCTTCAGGAAATGCACGCTTCTAGTTATGATTGTAATTGATATAGTCAATATCAATTAGCTCCAGATTAAGCATATAAATTTGAAATTCATAACAGATATTCAGGTAACATATTCTTTACTTTGATGTAACCGTTTGGGTGTTGACTCCTTCAGTAAAGAAGTCAACCTCAAAGCCTTTCTCTGAATACAGCTGGAGCCTGTTAGCCTGTTAACTATCTGCCCAACTTACTTTAGTGAGGACAGAGTACAGTCCAGTTATCCTGTAGAAATGCAGGGTCACTAACACAGACACGTATCGTCTTTGATATGTGAAACTGCATCACTTGTTTACTGTGTCCTGTTCATCAGAGGTGACCGTGTATGAAACGGTAGCTGGAAAGGTAAAAGGATGGAGACTGGTGAGTGGGTGTGTGGTGGGATGATTGTACAGTGTGACTCAGCATCAAGCAGCAAATACTGACAGCCTCTATAAGCACGTTTTCTGTAAAAGGGAAATGGACTAAACAGCAGTGGCTTCACATTTCACAGTGTCACAGAAGGTAAATACAGTGACAAGAAACATATGAAAGGGTTCCACACACTTAAAAGATTTCACACAGTTAAACTGAACACTGGCTTACATAAAAGACCAGTGCAAACATTTATGTCTCGGATACCTTTATAACCCCACTGCTGAAGTACAAGCTTGTTTCTATGGTAAAGTCAAGCTTATCAGAGGATTAACCCCTCAGATGGCCAGGGCCTGCCGGTAGGCACAAGGTTCTACTACACATTTCTGTAACCAAAGGGTAACTAAGCTAGTTTACATTATGGTCTGTATATTTCCTGATAATAAGCCTTAGTCTGTCATAATCTAGGGATTTTAAGGAGTCAGATTCCTTACGGCAGTGTTAGTCACAAAAGCCAGTCATAGGTCAGAATTCCTATAAAAACATTTGTCTTTATGTGGGAAAACACTCCAGACAGTAATTCACGATGGTTCAGTAATTAGCTTCTGGGGAAGTCTTTGAACTAAAAATCTAAATAGCTTTTTAGCCTCGGTGACCACACATTTACATGTTACACCAGCTGTGCTAGGTACATGTTAGTAAGAAAGAACGTCATCACTTTTATAGGAAGACAGTGTTGTTGTAGACGTATTTGAGAATAAACTAGACACAGTCGTTGCACTTTAGAGGAGAAAGTTGGCTTATTGGCTATTAGAAGATGTCTTAATACAGAGATGTTAACAGGTCACCATTTTCTTGCTTCTCCCAACACAGAGCAGGAGCAAACACTGATTATACAAAGTGTTATCACCCTCAACTGGCCCAAACAATCCCCCCACCCAGGTATCAAGGTTACATACCTGTGATAGAGAGGCACAGGAAAAGTACAGAACATTTTAAGATGACATAAGAGGATCAGGCCCTTAGAGACAGTATGACTGATTCTGATAGACAGAATAAGCATATAAAAGTTATGGAATTAACCACTTTCCAGCAATCCTCCCTGAGATCATGTAATGAAAGACAATGATCAAAAACATACTTGATTAAATGATGATTGGTTACATAAAGCTACTATACTAAACATACTAGGCTGAGCTTAAACACCCAAGTTCTAAAAACAAGCAAGGCACTCGCAAGGAGCAAGTTTAATACATACTGATTGCATGAAAACATCTATTTTTTGGATGGAAAACAGAAATTAGAAATTGGAAATGAAAGATACATGATTAATCAGGTAAATATAATAAATAATAAAGCACAGTGTCATAAGGACCAGGCTAAGACTCTGATATTGTAGAGAGGAATTTGCTGATCTGTGTGTGCATGTACAAGGGCGTATGCTATTTTTCCAAGCATCTTCAGAAGTCATGTACTTCTCTGGCAAAGTTTTCTTATCTCTCCAGTCCTTTATTATCTGTTTGGCTTTGTGGTGTGGAATCTGAGAGGGCAGACAAATGAAAAGGTTTATAATGTGTGTAGTTGTCCTGCCTATAGTACATGGTATATTAAGTTCTGTAGCATTTACATTTATGGCATTTGGCAGATACTCTTATCCAGAGCGACTTGCAATTTGATCATTTTTACACAGGTAGGTGAAGGAAGTGTTAGGAGTCTTGCCCAAGGACTCTTATAGGTATATTATAGAGTGCTTGCCCAGGCAGGGAAATGAACCACAGTCTACAGCATAGAAGGCAGAGGTGTTACCCACTACACTATACGACCCACCACACTACACCAACCAACATCACTCCTTTGGTTTATTCTTATGCACAAACATTTTAAATGAACTATTTTATTGGCCCATATATATATATATATATATATATGTATTTTATCTGACAAATGCATAATGGGCAAAAAATACTCTCTTTATCTGAGCTAATTAAATATTTCTGATATATCATGCTACATATCGGTTCAGTGATTGCACTCCTGCAGACAAATACATGTCCTCGGCTGTTACAAACACACGTACTCATGTACAGGTCTTTGTAGGTAACGTAGAAATGTTAATAACACTAAGTCTTTTCATTTACATTTTTATTCAGCGTTTAAGAGCATTGTTACTGTACTGTTCTTTAAGCACAAGTGATGTGTGTTTCTTCCCTGTGAAACCGTATCAGGCTAGCAGGTGAATGTCGTTTTGTTTGCATAGCTGCCGAGCACACGCCTGAGGTACGCATACCACAGTTTGAGAACCACTGGCCTAGATCATTTCTTTCTGTCAACAAGCTGCCACTTAGAAATATATTTAAAAACAGGTGATCTGATCTGTTGCCTGGTGCGCTGCAATTTGGTACAGAGCTAGGTTTATCTGTTTTCCCTCTTAGTTATGTAAAGATTGAGCCTTTTGGCTCCAGAGGGTCACACTACAGTCAGTCGGAGGGTCTTTTATAGACGCATGAAAAATGTAGCAGTTTTTAAGTGCTCTGGCAGGAGACAGCAAAAGTGTTTTAGGGGAATCTTCATCTGATTGGTTCTGTGATTATTTAGTCTGCCTGAAACTAACACAAGGCACAAAACCATAATCACTGGTCAAATGAGGTTGAACACGTTGAAAAAAAGACGTGAGCTAGACTTGCGTAACAGTCTGCCGAAATGAACTAAAATACACTTCCCTAATATGTAGCCGTTTCTTTTTTAAGGTTTAAATAGCCCAGTAACCGTGAAGTGCTTCTCTGACACCGTGAATTTGCACATGAGTTCAAGATTCAAGGCTTTATTGTCATTTCAGCTATATACAAATACACAGTGAAATGAAACAACATTCCTCCAGGACCAACACAGGAACACAAGTGCGAGGCAATACAATATACACAGTGCAGACAATTGAGTACAATGAATAAATATGAAAAACTTACAATAAATACAAAACAGGACACAGGCAGTGCACGGTACTGAGAGTATATGGAGCTGTGCAAAGGAGGATGTAACATACTATGACATATTAGCAGATTAGCTGATAGCATATATGAATGTAGCAGTCACTGAGGTTGCAGCCAGAACAGACATGGTACAGTAATTCTAGCAGCTAACATTGTTATAGAAGTAAAATGTGCAAAAATGTAAGAAGTCATGTATATAAGTTATATCAAGTGACGTATTTCAGTGAAATGCAATCATTGTATTTATATTTATATTTAAATACCGTGTCACAGACATAAACTAGAACCAAAGAAGCGGGGAGTGAGTTAGTCCTATATTGTTGTGTGTATGTGTGTGTGGGTCCGTGTGAGTGTGCTTCAGTTCAGTCCGTGGGAGTAGAGAAATCTGATGGCTTGTGGAAAGAAATTTCTCACAGTCTGTCTGTGAGAAGACTTTATTGCACATGAAGTCCATGAGTCACGGACGTTAGATCCATGGTTTTGATATCTGAAGTTTTTAAATCAGCTCATATGCAAGATGTTTACCAGTTTTAGAAAAACACGAGTGATCTTACAGAACACTTTTATTTTATGTAGTAAAAGTAGCTATTTATCATCACAGAAATGTGCAAACACACTATTCATCAAACGTTTAGATACCCTTTGTTCCAAATAGCATGTTTTGCCCCCTCAGTGACAGCTTGCAGCAGCCTTTTGAGATGGTTGTAATAGAGTGCCTTTATTTTCTCAGGTGGTAAAGCTGCCCACTCTTCTTGACAAAAAGCCTACAGGTCCTGTTATTTCCTTGGTTGCGTTGCGTGTACTGCACATTTAAATTCACCCCAGTGGCTCAATGATGTTGCGGTCCAGGGGAGTGCAAGGGCCATTTCAGAACCTTCACTTTTATCTGCTGCGAGTCCTAGTGTTCCCATGCACAGCTTCTGGGCTGATGAGATCATTGATGTCGATTTTAACCAAGTTTTCCATGCTCATATGCATCCAAACCAGCAGAGAACCAAGCTCAATGCTTTATAGACATAAACTAGAACCAAAGATGTGGGGAGTGAGTTAGTCCTAAATTATTGTGTATATGTGTGTGTGGGTCCGTGTGGGTGTCCTTCAGTTCAGTCCGTGGGAGTTGAGAAATCTGATGGCTAGTGGAAAGAAATTTCTCACAGTCTGTCTGTGAGAAGACTTTATTGCACATGAAGTCCATGATCTGATGGCTAGTAGAAAAAAAACTGTTGCACAGTCTGGCTGTGAGGGCCTGAATGATGCTGTACCTCCTTCTAGAGAACAGTTTGTGTGAGGGGTGTTTGGGGTCATTCAGAGTACCTGAGAGTACCTGTGTTGCCAATCTCTTAACCTACTCGCACAGATGAGGGTACAAGGGTTGCCAGTCTCTTAACCTACTTACGCAACTTATCTTAGCTCATGTGGCAGTCAAAATGAAGTCAAACCAAGTGTTTTTTAACAGCTTAATAAAAATGGCTAAACGTTTTTAAATGCATTGAAATAAAATTGGCAGGCATCCATGTACCTAGCCTTACTAGTATGTGTGGTGAAGTGGGCCGGATATAGCCAGGAATTAATTAGTGCCATGGCCGGGGTTTAATTTTGTGCGTTTGTGTGTGATTTTTCAGAATCTGGAGTCGAGGTTGAAGGTTTTATTGCCTGAAGATGTTGGTGCTGCTTTAATGGATGGTGTTGTTCTTTGCCATCTGGCCAACCATATTCGACCTCGCTCTGTGGCCAGTATTCATGTGCCCTCCCCTGCTGTAGTAAGTCCTACACTTTTTACCTGTTTGTTTGTCCGTCTGTCTAGCTAGTAGGCATGGGTGTGGTTATTGGAATATGCGGATATCTAAGCTCAGTATTCCTTTGCTAAATCAAACATTCCAGTACAGTGTACATAAATGAGTACGACGGAAAGCTGCAGAGAATGTGGGAACACAAGCAGCTGATATTGCGTATCTTCTCAAGCTAAACAGCCACATCTAAGCAAAGCTGTACTAGAAATATATTAGAATAAGAAGATGAAATTGTGCACTGTGAACTTTTGTGAATTACTGTTACTGTCACCTAGTAGTGTATTAAGGACACACAGACCTGAAAGAAAAAAGTAAATCACTAAGTCAACCAGACAGTCAGGTCTGCATCAGCTTTTACTACAGTAGCTGAACACAATGGATAAATGTTTACTGCTTTTTGCATTTTTATTTTTGTTTAGTATTTTTTAACCTTATAAAACCTTTTATTGTCAGGATCTTTGAATACTGTTCATTTAAAAAATGTCAGCCTCAACTGTTTATCTTTCTTTATCTTACTCTTTAAATTTGTCTGTTGTCCATTTTTTTATGTTAACAGAATGCAGTGTTGCGAAGAAATGATTTTTTTTCATAAGACTGTTTATCAAAAAATGAAATTTTCACTCATCAGCTCATTTAAGTTTTAGATGTGACAAATATTTACTAATTTTTGATTATTTTAAACAGTGCATCATTTACCTTTCCATACACAGATCTGCTGAGCTAAAGCCATAGGCTGCAAATAAAACTCCCATCTAGCGTAGTGCTGTACAATCCTGCATGAATTGAGTTTGATTTAGTGCAAGTCAGTTCAGTCTCATTTAATTTGATTGGGTTTTGGTTCTGTTGACAGGCTCTGTTTATTTTGATTTAATTTTCTTTTTTTACTGTTCCAATCAAGTCTTAAGTTCTGATCTGTTCAGTTTTAAAACAAACACTTTAATTGACTGCATTAATTGTGCACATAATTGTGTGTTTTCTCCCACAGCCAAAGCTGAGCATGGCCAAGTGCCGGCGGAACGTTGAGAATTTTCTGGAAGCGTGTAAAAAGCTCGGTGTGCCACAGGTAGGCCTGGACTTGGACCTTTTCGTTTACTCTTGCACTTCTCAATTTTGTTGGTGCAACACCAAATCACCCAAAACCTGTCTGTGACTAAAACAAACACAGCTTGCAAAATGCTGGATATAATTTGACTGTAATGATTAGATGCTTGTTTAGATTAAATGTTGCTTATTTCCATTTCTTATTTTATTTGGGGCAAGAAAGGCACAGAAATTACATGCAGACTTTACTGCACACATGAGTCATGGACGTTAGATCCACATGGTTTTGATATCTGAAGTTTTTAAATCAGCTCATATGCAAGATGTTTACCAGTTTTAGAAAAACATGAGTGATCTTACAGAACACTTTTATTTTATGTAGTAAAAGTAGCTATTTATCATCACAGAAATGTGCAAACACACTATTAATTAAAAGTTTAGATACCCTTTATTCCAAATAGCATGTTTTGCCCCCTCAGTGACAGCTTGCTGCAGCCTTTTGAGATGGTTGTAATAGATTGCCTTTATTTTCTCAGGTGGTAAAGCTGCCCACTCTTCTTGACAAAAAGCCTGCAGGTCCTGTTATTTCCTTGGTTGCGTTGCGTGTACTGCACATTTAAATTCACCCCAGTGGCTCAATGATGTTGCGGTTCAGGGAGTGCAAGGGCCATTTCAGAACCTTCACTTTTATCTGCTGCGAGTCCTAGTGTTCCCATGCACAGCTTCTGGGCTGATGAGATTGTCTGATTATCTGACGCATTGATGTCGATTTCAAGCAAGTTTTCCGTGCAAGTTTTCCATGCTCGTATGCATCCAAACCAGCAGAGAGCCAAGCTCAATGCTTTATAATAGGGATGGTGTGTTTTTCATCATGTGTCTTCTTGACTCCTCTGCAAGCACAGCTGTGTTTCTTACCCTACAGTTCAATTTTTGGTTCATCACTCCAAATCACTTTATTCTAGAAGTCTTGAGTTTACTGTAAATGCTGTTTGGCGCATTGCCAGCAGGCTTTTTTTTTTCTGCCAGCTCCACCTTGCAGCCCATTTCTGTTTAAATATATCCTCATTGTACAAGCTGGAACAGCTACACTGCTTTCTTCCAGAGAAGCTTGTATTTGAGTAGAAGTTGCCTGTGGGTTTTTCTTTGCATCGCGCACAAATTTCCTGGCAGTTATCTTAGAAGTCTTTCTTGGTTTACCTGATGCTTTTTCCACTTTATTTGATCAGACTTTATAGTGTTGAATTACATTTTCTCACAGATTATTTGACAATTCTTCTGCGTTCCGCATATTTCAGAGTTCAGTTAGTTCAGTGCAGGCAAACAGCAAATGCACACTTTGTTAGCCCCATTTTAACCTGTTCTTCAGTGGTCAGGGCCCCCATGGACCCTCACAGAGCAGGTACTATTTGGGTGGTGGATCATTCTCAGCACTGCAGTAACACTGACATGGTGGTAGTGTGTTAGTGTGTGTTGTGCTGGTCTGAGTGGATCAAAAGTACACTGGAAATATAAATAGTTATACTGGAAAACAACCCTGTCACTTGACTTCAGTGGTATTTCTGTTTTGTTTAAAGCTTTCAAATCAGGCTTCCATGTGAAAATGATTAGCCCGACAGAAATAATAACAAACACAGTTAAAGTTTATGAGTAGTTCCTAGTAGCTGATTACCATCACAAAAATTGTGCTTCCCCATAATCTGTTTTTCACCAAAGGAATAATGTGAGGTCAGTTTTTATGACGTAACACTGATGAAGCCTTTCATTACAGCAGCCTCATCTGCTTCTGAAGGATGTTTTGTCTGCATGATAGAATATAGCATTTGATTTCCTGTATCTTCCTTTAGGAACATGTGGGCTGTAAGCATGTGGTAGCATGTCAGTGTTTTCATGGCTAAAGTGGAGTGGCAGGAAGGGGTTGCATGATATGGACAAAATACATTCTTCTCTGAAAGTACTGGAACGGCAAGGCTGTTGTTTTTTGCCATGCACTGAAGACTTTTGGTTTTAGATCAGAAGATGAGCATGAATGATAGAGTGATAGATCAGAATTTAAGCTTTTATTTCCTGGTATTTACATCTAGATGTGTTTAACAACTTAGAACATGGCACCTTTGGTCCGTTTTTAGGTAAAACTATAGGAACAGATAGTCTATTAAAGGAAAATTAAAGGAAATCCAGCCTCCTCTTAATGAGTCAGATGATTGACTTGGCCAGTCTAAACGTTTTGCGACTGATACTTTTTGTGTTGACAGTGTGTTGTTTCGGGTCCTCATGTTTAGGTTCGGTGCATTTCTCTGTAAAGTGGCAGACAGAATGTTTTATGTAGACTTTTGAACTCATTCTGCTGCTACCATCATGAGTCACATCATCAGTAAAGATTAGTGAGCCCATTCCAGAAGCAGCCATGCAAGCCAAAGCCATGAAACTACCTCCACCTTGCTTGACCAATGAGTCTTCCAGTTCTTACTGCTGATGAGTGGTTTGCATCTTGTGATTGGACATTATTTTTCTGCTCTTAAAGTCTCTTTGCACAGCTCTACTTTCACCCCTGCCCTGTGGAGGTTGTTGATGTCATTGACTGTTGTTTTTGTTTTTCTTTACAGCTCTCACAATGTTTCTGTCATCACCTGCGGTCGTTGTCTTTGGCCCACTTGTTAAATATCTGGTTGTTAGCAGTGTTTCTTTCTTCTTCAGCACATTCCAAATTGTATTACTGGCAGTCACCAATGCTTGTGCAATGGCTTTGATTAATATATTTAACACTTTGCCAATATATTTAACATGTTTTAACCATGATGTGGCATAGTTAAAGCTTGGCCTGGTTTATTTTGACCAGAATTTGTAACTGGATCCTGTAATGGCCACAGAACCTCATCTAGATCATCTGAGGTTGATCAAGTTGATCATAGCAAGGAAGAAAAGGTTATGATCTGTTGTCTGTCAGTACTTCATTGCATATTGAAACACAGTATTAATATTGCAATAGCGAATATACTGCTAATTATTAACAGATGTTACATTGCACAGCCGTAGCTTGAACTCTTTTTTATGTGTGTTTTCCACAGGACAAGTTATGTTTGCCTCATCACATTCTGGAGGAGCGTGGTTTGGTGAAAGTCGGCGTCACTGTTCAAGCCTTGCTGGACTTACCGTCTTCAAAACCCACTCAGCTGTCCACCATGTAGCACTGCAGTAAAAGCCATGATAAAGCCCTTAAAAGTGGGTTTGGCAGACGTTCCCTAGCAACTTGCGTCCTGCCTTGCCTCCGTCTTGCCCTTCGGCCACTTCCAGTCCGTTGACCTCAAGAGAGCTTCAAACCCTTCTCTGAGCAAAGGCCCTTTATCTGTTACACCCCTTTTAAACTGACTGGTGCTTGTGCTGGTGCTCACACCAGAGCTATTGCCTAAGCTCAAAGCTTACATTTCCACAATAAAAATATGTGTAACCTGTGCCATTTTGGCCTCATTGACCTGCTGGGCCATGACCAAGGAACCAGTGGGGGGGGTGGTTAATTCCATCTCCACAAGAAGTTGTTTACAGGAGTTGAGACACTGTTTCAGACAAGATGAAGAAAATGAAGAGAGAAAAACAAGCTTCACTGACAATCTGGTCCTCAAGATAAGAACATGATAAAATTGGAAAACTCAAGAAGACAAGCAGATCTTACATCGAAATACAGGAGAATGTGCTCAAATGTGGGTTCAGCAGAACAAATTGAGGAAATGTATGTCACATCAAGTTGACTTCTGTTTCCGAGCTTGGCAGCGGCCACTTCTAGTTCTGTAATCCCGGGAACCAGCACTGGCACCTTGTCAGTGTTGAAAGGGCATTAGCACCCATAACGGAGCAGCCAAGAACTTAAGCGATTCGTTCCTGAACCATACATACTGCGGAGAGACTGATGGGACCTTCATTTGTTCTGTTGAGGCGAGTAAAGAGAGGAGTCATTTTACATCCTGTTCCAGGGAAATAGATAGTACCCCATGTGGGTTTGGCCGGGGTTATTTTTTTCTCCTCCAACACTTCATCTACTGGACCGGTGAGCCCACAAGGGCGAGGACAGGAAGAAGTCTGACAGTTGATTGGCTGACATGGAACAGTCTCCTGCATGAAGCCAATAAAGTTCCATTAATGAAACATGCCTTGACGCCTATCCCCCACACTACGTGCAGCATTTATGGGTGTTAGAGAGGTGCGTGTACATTTTGTAAAGATGAACTGGAGTTGCGGCTTGTGTAGGTGAAAGCTGGTAATTGATTTGCTCCCCTGGATTCACACTGTTGAGGTCTTTCCACACCATGCACGGTTTATTCATGCGATTTATTCAAACACAAATAAATTCTAATTAGCATACCTGATGATATCTTGCACACCAAACACATTTCTTTCTGACCCACTGTTTAATTTTTGCAAACTTTTGCAGGCAGGATGAACCTGTCTCTGCTGTCTCTGGCATTGGCATGGCAACCAGGCTGATAGATCAATTGTGTAATACTAACCAATGCTAGCATTTCCAAAAGCAGCTCACACTGTGTTATGGACATCCAAGCCATATGCGAAAGCACTCAGAGTTTCAGCTCCTGAATGAGGCGGTGAAACTCTCCAAAGGCACTGTTTGCCTGGTTTGAAGAGCAGTGGATGTCTTTGTTACTCGAAGACGTTCTGCTTTGTTTTTTATCGCAGCAAGAACGTGACTAAATCCCCAAAAAATTGCATCGGGTGCAGTGTGAAAAAACGTTTCTGAATATTTCGTGTTGTTTACTTATGTGGTATTCGGTGTGCGATGGCCTTAAAGGTGAGACAGTGTACTCTACACAGAAAGTGCGAAACAGACCAGGATGTTCTAGAATTCGTGTTTGGTTCTTGGTACCTATAGAACAACTGTGTAGCAATGCACATTGGAAAAAGGATTAACAATTTTTTACTTTTTCCTTTTGTTTATAGGCTCAGTTAAGTTAATTACTTTCAATATTGCTGAAAAGATTTCACTTTCACTGACTTAATTTAGCAGGTTTTAGTTGTCAGAAAACAGGACAGGCAATATAGCCTGTAGGACTTTCCTGACATCTGCAAGCTTTGTTTGTTGCACTCATTTCATTGTAGTTGTGCCATATATACACATATTGTGAACTAACTTTTACTCCAACTTTCCACTTTTAGTCACTTTTTAAATATGCATTGATGTTGTGATGGTTTTCATGTAGCATCACAGTTTTCAGAGAAGTCAGTATATAAGCACATATTCACATACACATGCACACAACAAGACTGACCTGACCCACAGTGCCACGTTTTGAGCCCGAATCTGGCCCGAGCTGACAAAATTTTGTCCGAAAGCGACCTGTCACACCTCATCAAGTTCGGGGTCCGAAACTGACCCGAGCCCAACAAAATATAATACTTTTAATGATAGCACTGGTAAACTTACAATACACTAGCAATAATATTAGATTATGGATAAAAATAAATAAATAATGAAATAATCAGCTGCTTTAACTCATTAATTCAGTGCTTTCAGAAACACCCCGAGCGTTTTTTTTTTAGGCTAAACTGAATGCTGTTCTCACACTGTGCGATGCTGATACAGCAATGTGTTAGTTTACTCTGTTTAATCCTTAAACTCCTTTTTTTAAACAAAGAAAATCTTAGATTTTACATACTGAAAACTGAAAACTCCACTAAATCGATTCACTGGTTTATTTCCCATGCATCCATTTTCTCACAAGCATGTTTTATGGACCTCGGCTGAATTCTATCAACAGAAGTGGGTGACTTGAGTTTTTAAGGTAGTTAAAATAGAGAGGAGGTATACAGTACAGAGAAAACGAAAGCAGAGGAAACTGCACAGGGAACTCTGTTAAAAGTGGGAGGGGGGCTGTGAGTGTCAAGGAATCAAGGATGCATACATCAACACCGTAACTCGTTACGACGTACCCTCATTTAACACTCTGAAATCAGTTCATGAAGTTCAGACCTTGTTAATCAGATGATGAGCTGATTCAGGTGTGTTTACTGAGGCTGTGTGCTGGAGTCTGCAGTGTTTTGGCCTGCGAGGATTAGCCTGACACTGGTTACTGATATGTCTACAGGTACTTTAGTACGCAAGCAGTGCCAGTTTATAATGTTGCTGACAGATATACAGATCTGTCAGGATAACACACGTTTACTGTCTGTTTCACAGCATCACCTAAAAGCAACTTTCTTTCTGTAAGCAGTATCAATTCAGCCGTGCAACATTTTTTGCTAGTTAAAAGAAATGAGAAAAGCTTCAAATGAGATCGCATTCGTGTTTAGTTACGCTATCTTACGTGAGATATTCATTCAAACAGCAGGGGTCTTATCTTTGTTGGATTATTTTCTTAAGTTGATTGTTTCAGTTTAATTTATTCGGTGTATAATTTAAATGTGACCATGTGTTATTGGACCTCTGTGATTTTGTCCAACACTGTAGACATTATGTATTATTAGACCAGTGATGTTACTGCCAACAGTTCCTGACTACTAATTGTATAGAGATTTGAAGGGAATTATTTATGTATTTATTGTATATTTATTCATTCACATGGCTTTTTTTGTTTGCTAAACCAGCATCAGAAATGTATGTCCTAGTGCTAATGCTCAGAAAATCTCTACTAATGTTCCACAACATGGCTTTTACATCTGTTATTTTATATATTACTTTATATGTATGTGATGATTAGCTGAGAGGATCAGTCTCACTCACACATTCAGTGGAAACAAGCCAAGGGTACATACTAACAAAGCTAGCTTTGACTCTGCATCACAGTACTAATGTGTCATTCTCTAATTGTTACTTCCTTCATCCTTGCTGAAAGTTGATTTTGCAATGACTGTGGCATCGTCCCTGTTGGCTCATGCAGAGAATTGTGACAGCCGTGTCAGTTTAGTGCCAAATGAGCCACACCGTTTACGGCTCGTTACAAGTGCTGTATAAAGTGAATCATCACATACGCACTTCGCATCTCACTTTCAGTATCTTACAAGGAAATTGAATCTGTGCTTTATTGTTTGATTCAGATTCTGTCACTCGATTAATTCCATGTATTTGTTTCCTTATTTATGTACAGTACTATGTAAGTCAGAGACCACCCTTTATTTCTTTAATTCCAGTCAAAACAGCTGTTATGTTTTGACTGTACATTTTTCAGCCTTGTAAAAAAAGCAGAAAATGTAAAAGAAAATGACACAAGAACCTCAACAACTACATATAATATCAAGTTTTCATACATTTAATACATCGTTAGCTTATATTCGTTTTTAAATAAATCTGCAGGGATATTTTTTATACCGCCAAAGTTCAGTCTCAGACTTTGGTTGCATTTTTTTAATGATTTAATGATAGATGCTTACAAAGGTGACGTTCATAGAAAGTGTTACCATGAAAGCTTTGATTGCTGTTTATCTGATGGGCACAGTGTTGGTGGTCTAATCATTAGCTAGCTTTGGAGACCCCTGTTTTTTCCACGTATTTCCTTTGACTTTGTTCTTCCTTATGCTAGTGGATTATTTTATGTAATCTTCTCATAAATCTCCTGAGTAACTTGCATTAAATAAAGGGTGGTCTCTGATTTTTGCACAGTACTGCATATGTGTACTTGTTCGTGTTTGTGAATTACAGGTACAACTGTAGATATTTCTACAAAGGAAGTTTGGATTCTTGTAGCTAATGGCTCTCTGAAGTTTATGCATAGTTTTGTTGTCCTGAACGTATTGTTCACACGCATCAGTTGTGCAATGCACAAGGTAAAGGCAAACATCTTCTGAATGAGCACATTTCAAAATTGGTCCAAGAAGGTGATATGCAAACTCTGCAGATGGTATTTGATGTTCCAATTAGAACCTTTGTCTAGTAGTGCAATTAAAAACAATTGCTGGCCTTTTTTGAGGGTTGCAGGGGGGCTTTTAGTTCAAAATCGGGTTTTGAATGATGGGGGGGGGGCGCCCTACTCTCTTGAGTAGTTGTTGCTGTTCATAGGCAACTAAGCTATGTAAGTAATTACATCTTTTATCCCCCAAAAATGAAAGAAACAATCAAAAATGTTCCTTTTCTGTCCGCCTGACCATCTGTAATGTGGATGCCATCATAGGTTCTGTATGTTGAGCAAGATGTGGCATGCATAATGGCTTGTTGACATTCTTTGCTTTTTTCTGTGGAAAAGATTGACTAATAGCCAGGTTTATTTGAGCACACACCCTACTCACAGGATGAAAAACAGCTACATATTCATTGATGACATCCTCTGACTGGTGACTGCCTAAAGATTTCATCTTAAAACTTCTCCCTGAAATAAACTCAATGGAGCACACATGCAACATGATATTACATCCATGTGTAACAGTATTCATTTGTTAGTGCCGTTCCACACCAATCATGAAATCTTTGCTGCGAGACACCCAGCTATAGACTGCCAGTTTGCCTTCTTGGTTTAGTAACGTTCACCATGCTCAGTTTTGCACTTTATTACAGGATACTGCAATGCAACTTTTTGGCATTTTCTATCACCAGATCTTTTTTCTTTAGAAGCCAGTGCACTACACATCAGCACTTCTCTGCAGCGACAGATGAGATTGATGACAACAAGGCATTGTTAAGAAAGGTTTCGAGGTTTGGCATGTGCCATGCTTAGTGACTTTTTTGTTTTTCTTTGCGCTGGTCGTTTTGCAACTGTTTGTATTCATGTGTAAAAAAAAATGAGGTGCCGATTCACGCTCGGTTTGACTGAGGGCCAGATGCGTGGTGTGCGTGCGCGCAGATAGATGTTTTGTATGAAACAAGTTCTTGATTGCATGCCTGGATCCTCTGTGATCGAACCACCATTCCTGTACATAAGCTCTGTAAAAAGTATTTGACCCTTTCTTTTTCAAACAAAAGACAAACTGTTTGAAAAGTCATGAGAAAAAAAAAAAAGAACCTTCCAATAAAATGACTTTTTCCAGTTATGTGGTTGCCTTCTGTTTGTTTTCTAAAAAAGGTTCTGGGTAGATGAATGGAGTGATTTTTTTTTTTTAATTATATGAAAAACCTTTACACAATGGTGACCATATGGCCCACTGTAGCTCCAGTGATTTGGTTTTCTTCCCATAGCTTGCGTGCCTCTTCACTTAGCTTATCTCTCCAAAGCTTCTCCTGTGAGTCAGTGGGTTAGATGTTGATGTCCCAGAGTGCTTTGAAGAATGTAATGTTCAGGGTCTCCGAGGTGCCCCTTCCTCCAGATGCCTATCCTTACACGGAAGGTTCACGGGAAAATGACTTTGAAAAAAAATAATCTGACTGTCTGGCACAGTGGTATTGTTTTTTTTTGACAGTTGGCAAGTGGACCAACAGCAAGATCAAATGCTTCCATTTTCACTTGAACTGTTGGCAGATTGTCATATATGGCGAGAAACAATATGGCCAGCTGCAGAGGCCGGATGCACTGGCTGCATGTAGGTGCAAACTAGCTAGTTGCAATGTAAGTGTTTTTTTAAGTTTGGGTTTTTACAATATTAAATCAGAAAGTTGCACAAAACACTAAATGCTAACATATACGCTGTGATTTTCCTTACAGCTCTAACCATCGCCCTTGTTTTAACTAGAGCATGTTGCATTGTCCTACTACTGGCGAAGCATGGCTGTCCCTGTGTCTCTTCTGTTGATCCTACACTGGTGTCAGAAATGGGATAGTGCCTCCAAGTGCCCTGGAGGAAAATGGCACTACAACGAAACCAAAGGCGAATGGCGAGAAGAGTAAAAAGGAAAATGGCCTGGTGAGGCTTGGCGGCATGGTGCAAAGATGCTCGGCAGAGGTCGACGTAGAGGTGCGACATTGGAGCCGGGGACTTAATATGGCTCGATATGGGAAGTTTTACAATTCCCCTGGAAGAGCTGTGGCAGTGGGGGTGTTGCCCCAGGAGTTTGTTCTGGCGGGACTGTGCTTGCGCCCGAAGACTTAACTTGAGCCAAGTGTTACCTTAACTTTTAATGGTTTCTATGATTTTTTTTTCTGCAGGGCAGTCAGTACAGTCTTACTGATATTTGAAAACCCACTTCCAACAAAGTATACTATAAAAAAAGACAACTCAAGAAAGTGGCTTGTTGTTGTTGTTAAAGTGGTTGTTATATTCTGTATATATCTGTTTATGATACTGAAATAACAAAATAATTACATAAAGTGCACATTTGAGAACGTACAGAGTTGGGGTATTTTTTGGCCCAGTTATGGCAGATCTGGCATCTGGATTTGGGCCAGTGCCTTGGGCCCAATTCTGGGCAATCATTCAAAATAAGTCCTCTGACACAGGCTGCCAGCACTAGATCAGGTGGGGTAAGCTTTGCTGGAAGGAACTGGACCAGAACTGGAATTTTATGGCTAGTTAGGCAGCACTGAAGGACTTGGAGAGAATAAATGTAACTTCCATTCAGTGAAGTCTATACCAGTGTTTCTCAGCCCTGGTCCTGGAGGCCAGCAGTGTTTTGCCTGCTATCAACAGACCTGATCCAACTAATTAGCTCAGTTGTTGAGTTAAAGTGGCTGAGTCAATGCAGGGAAAGCACTAAAATGTGCAATGTTAACGTCTTGCATTAGCTTAAAAAATCAGACTGATTTTGCCAAAAGTGCTATTTTGGAGCACGAGAATGTCACAGTATCCTTTGGTGTCTGGCTCTTGTATTGTCAAAGCTCAGCAAGGCCTCCTCCATTCTAGAGAATGCTTCCCAGTAAGTTCCCTGGAAAAAGGGAGCAAGATACGTTTTGCAAGGTTACAGGAAGGAAGGAAAGACAAGATTTCCAAGGACATAATATGGTTGGGGTAGCAGACCTCATGTTTGCGTTTCGCTACCGATGCTTCTACAATTCCCTGAAATCTTATCTCACTGCAGACTTCCAACAGGAAGTTAAGAACTTGAATAGACCTTGAACATGAATGCACTGAATTGGGTCCGTTTTTATTTTAAGGGTGCCCTATGGGTTATCTATAGACAGGGCTGCAGAAAGTAGTGATGGCTGAATACTGAATCCACCGTACTAAATGTATTCGGTAACGTCTTCTATTACAATAAATAATAAATTAATGTATTCGAAATACATTTAGAATACATACTGGTAAGTCACACGGGGTTTTTTTTTACGTATTCACTGTTTCTCGCTGTTTCTCTTTGGCAGTTTTCTTCATGTAAAACAACTTCTCATTTAAATGAAGTACCAAAAAACTTTTATTTTTATCTCTCATCAGTCCACCGCTGCTCCCACAATCCCCTGAGCAGGTGTGCAGTGCAGCACTGATGCTGAGGTTATCATTCCCAAACATGTCCATTACTGAGGGGATTAGTTTGATCATCCCTCAAAAGAGCTCAGCAACACTCAGATAAATAACTAGATCATCACACTGATTTATCAGTCTACTCAGGCTTTAGTAGGAGCTTCAGTGTTTGTAAAGAAGCTGTTAATTGAGTTCCTCTTTAGAATTTGTCTAATGAGCATGTTTGCTACATGCTATGCGCTGATTTTAAAATAGTTAAACAAGCATTGATGTTTCCTTTTCTCTCGAGCAGCATGTTGCTGACCCCTGTTCTACATGTTGCGTGTAGTTACACATTTCCACCAGAGAGGTCTCCAAAACCACTAATCTTACATAATACAGTGATAAGGTTAGTTAAGCTAAAAATCCTGTTTCATGAGACAGACCCCTGATGAAACCAACAATGTGAGGGTTACAGTCAGGTTTAGGATTAGGGTTAGATTTAGTAGAATCTATTGGGTTCAACTTAAAGTTCAATTGCATTGAATTGAAATGTATTAGAATGTTAATTAAAGACAAACTTAGCATCTATAGATCACTCTCAAAGTGTTAATCAAGATGGCCTTGGTTCTTGGTTGTTTACTTTTCCTTCTTAGGGAGCCACAAAAAGCATCTGTACTGGTTTTTGCACAATTTCCCATGTTCTATATCCGTATCCAACTTGCATAAAGGACTATTGTCTCTAACTAAACGTTTTTGTTCTCTGGGAAAGAATCTGATTCCCAATGATTTTGACTCAGTACTGATTTCTCTAATGTGTCATCCATGATGATAAGTTCCTGACACCAAAATGTTTGTGACCACTCCCCAGTAAACAAAAACGCTCTTATCTGGCAGGATTACATTACTATCAAGGAAATCTGTGCTGATGACTCACAGGCTCCCTTGGTGACGTTCATTTCAGGCTTCAGCCCAGATTTTGTGGAATACTGCTTTGGGACAATGTAAAAAAGTGCTAAATAAATAAATAACACATCCTTTGCAGACCCATAGCATTGAGTTCACCTCCCACAGTAAGGAGGGACAGAAACACCTGTGGATATTTCAGATCTGAAGCAGCTTGATTTTCTCCTCTCTCTTACAGATGAAAGCTTTAGGTGCTGTGTATCTGATGGGGACAGTGTTGGTGGTCTGCCAGGTCTTGCGTGGCGATTATGCGTTCTATTTTTTCTACATTTCTTAAGAATTTATTACACTTTGAATGGATTCTCTTACATCTTATCTCCTTAGAAATATCACCTTAAAATTAATACCTTGCACTTAATGGCAGTTTTGACTGGAAATATATATATATAATCTATAAGTGACAAGTGAGTAGAAGAGCAAGGGGTTTTCTGTTTACGTAGATGACAGAGGTAAAAAGGCCATGCCTTAGTCACTTAAAATCTGACTCAGCAGGAGGAGCTGTGCATACTGAACAAAACCCGATTGCTGGCTGGAGTCCCCAGTCAGAGCATACCAGCGGGGTGGTGTGTGCACACGCTGAAAGCATCCCTAAAGAGGAGCATTCCATCTCTCCACTCCAAAACACTTGAGTGAGTACTCTTAGAAACTGTAATTCTATGGTTCTGCATTGTTTCTACATATTTGCCCTTATACCTCTCTTTTTAAATACTTTTGAGTACTTTTTTTCATTTAAATTGTGGGTGATTTTATTCAGATTGTCAGGTATAATCTGCTGAAACTGTTGTAATCTGGGGAAATATATTACAGATAAAAAGAACAGTTGGAAAGTCCTTTAGTTGTTTTGTGCAGTGACCTCTTTGTCTGTATTCTCAGTGTCTTTGTCTTTGTTCAGCCATGTGTGGGAGAGTTTCTCATGGATCTCTTGGCACGTTTTCATTATATATACAGGCTGGGCGTTGTTTAAGCTTTTGTGGCTTGAGGCTTATTGGCTGTGTGTATATGTGTGTGTGTGTGTGTGTGTGTGTGTGTGTGTGTCCATGTCTGTGTGTATGTGAGTGTGGTCAGTGCATTCTGAGGTGGACAGAATATGGACTTGAAGCTTCATTAAATTGGGTTTATAAAATGATTTAAAATGTGGGAAAGACTATTTGGGGTGGTCCTTTGTAGATGATTAATAAACTCTTAACAGTGTATCAGTAACACATTAACAACATATCAGTGAAGCATTATACACCGAAGTAAATATCTTGTAGATGTTCTGTTACATTAAGCAGATGTATTGTTAATATGTTACTTCCATTACGCAAAACCTAACCTTACCCAACCTTACCCAAAGCCTAACCCTAACTCTGGCCCTAATTCTAACCTTAACCTCAACCCAAAACCCTAACCCTTACCCAACCTTACCCAAAGCCTAACCCTTACTCTGGCCCTAATTCTAACCTTAACCTCAACCCAAAACCTAACCTTACCCAACCTTACCCAAAGCCTAACCCTTACTCTGGCC